GTATGAGTATACTGGTGAGACTGGTGATAGTAAATTCAGTGTTGTTTAAGATCTCTAAGCTGATTTACACATTCTCTATACAAATTTGTTCCCTTATGTCTTGTGCTAGTTAAAGGAAATGCTCACAATGCAGGAACTTGTGTTATAACTTACTGGAGCAGCAGATAGTGGAGGAAATGCAGAATGCAGAGTTAAGGTCTGAGCTCCATGACTCTTAAAGTTACTGTATTACCAGTAAATATAAGAAATATTTTGGAACAAGGTAGCAGTCCTCTAAAAGAAACAAGATAAGTACGTATATGAAAAGTGTTGCATCATCATCCAGGTTTTCATGGTTATGTGGTCCTCTACCTTTCCAGAGCCAAATACAGTGTACAGTGGTTTTACTGTTTGAGAAGTTGATCAGTTTTTTTTTTTAATTGAAGAGAGTGAGAGTGTGTGAGAGAGTGAGTGTGTGTGTGAGAGAGTGAGTGTACTCGCCTATTTGTACTCGCCTATTTGTGGTTGCATACTCCAGTATGGGCCTGACGTAAATGGTATACAGAGTCTTAAACGAATCCTTACTGAGGTATCGGAACGCTATCCGTAGGTTTGCCAGGCGCCCGTATGCTGCAGCAGTTATCTGATTGATGTGCGCCTCAGGAGATATGCTCGGTGTTATACTCGCCCCCAGATCTTTTTCCTTGAGTGAGGTTTGCAGTCTTTGGCCATCTAAACTATATTGTGTCTGTGGTCTTCTTTGCTCTTCCCCAATCTTCATGACTTTGCATTTGGCAGGGTTAAATTCAAGGAGCCAGTTGCTGGACCAGGCTTGTAGCCTGTCCAGGTCTCTTTGTAGTCCTGCCTGATCCTCATCCGATTTGATTCTTCTCATTAACTTCGCATCAACTGCAAACAAGGACACTTCTGAGTCTATCCCTTCCGTTATGTCGTTCACATATACCAAGAACAGCACAGGTCCTAGGACTGACCCCTGTGGAACCCCGCTTGTCACAGGCGCCCACTCTGACACCTCGTTGCGTACCATGACTCGTTGTTGCCTCCCTGTCAGATATTCTCTGATCCATTGCAGTGCCTTTCCTGTTGTGTGTGCCTGATCCTCTAGCTTTTGCAGTAACCTCTTGTGAGGAACTGTGTCGAAGGCCTTCTTGCAGCCCAAAAATATGCAGTCGATCCACCCCTCTCTCTCTTGTCTTGTGTGAGAGAGTGAGAGTGTGTGAGAGAGTGAGTGTGTGTGAGAGAGTGAGTGTGTGTGAGAGAGTGAGTGTGTGTGAGAGAGTGAGTGTGTGTGAGAGAGTGAGAGTGTGTGAGAGAGTGAGAGTGTGTGAGAGAGTGAGAGGTGTGTGAGAGAGCGAGAGTGTGTGAGAGAGACGAGAGTGTGTGAGAGAGCGAGAGTGTGTGAGAGAGCGAGAGTGTGTGAGAGAGCGAGAGTGTGTGAGAGAGCGAGAGTGTGTGAGAGAGCGAGAGTGTGTGAGAGAGCGAGAGTGTGTGAGAGAGCGAGAGTGTGTGAGAGAGCGAGAGAGTGAGTGTGGAGGAGAGCGAGAGTGTGTGAGAGAGCGAGAGTGTGTGAGAGAGCGAGAGTGTGTGAGAGAGCGAGAGTGTGTGAGAGAGCGAGAGTGTGTGAGAGAGCGAGAGTGTGTGAGAGGAGCGAGAGTGTGTGAGAGAGAGCGAGAGTGTGTGAGAGAGCGAGAGTGTGTGAGAGAGCGAGAGTGTGTGAGAGAGCGAGAGTGTGTGAGAGAGCGAGAGTGTGAGAGAGCGAGAGTGTGAGAGAGAGCGAGAGTGTGAGAGAGAGCGAGAGTGTGAGAGAGAGCGAGTAGGAGAGAGATGATGAGGTGTGAGAGAGAGAGTGTGGAGAGAGGGTGAGAGTGTGAGAGAGAGTGAGAGAGTGTGAGAGTGAGTGTGTGTGTGAGAGTGAGAGTGTGTGAGAGTGTGTGTGTGTGAGAGTGTGTGTGTATGAGTGAGTGTGTGTGTGAGAGTGAGTGTGTGTGAGAGTGAGTGTGTGTGAGAGTGAGTGTGCGTGTGTGTGTACTCACCTATTTGCTCACCTATTTGTGGTTGCAGGGGTTGAGTCATAGCTCCTGGCCCCGCCTCTTCGCTGATTGCTACTAGGTCCTCTCTCTCCCTGCTCCATGAGCTTTATCATACCTCCCCTTAAAACTATGTATGGTTCCCACCTCCACTACATCACTTTCTAGGCTATTCCATGGCCTGACTACTCTATGACTGAAGAAATACTTCCTAACATCCCTTTGATTCATCTGAGTCTTCAACTTCCAATTGTGACCTCTTGTGTCTGTGTCCCTTCTCTGGAACATCCCGTCTTTGTCCACCTTGTCTATTCCGCGCAGTATTTTATATGTCGTTATCATGTCTCCCCTGACCCTCCTGTCCTCCAGTGTCGTCAGGCCGATTTCCCTCAACCTTTCTTTGTAGGACAATCCCCGTAGCTCTGGGACTAGTCTTGTTGCAAACCTTTGCACTTTCTCTAATTTCTTTATGTGCTTGACTAGGTATGGATTCCAAACTGGTGCTGCATACTCCAGTATGGGCCTGACGTAAATGGTATACAGAGTCTTGAACGAATCCTTACTGAGGTATCGGAATGCTATCCGTAGGTTTGCCAGGCGCCCGTATGCTGCAGCAGTTATCTGATTGATGTGCGCTTCAGGAGATATGCTCGGTGTTATACTCGCCCCCAGATCTTTTTCCTTGAGTGAGGTTTGCAGTCTTTGGCCATCTAAACTATATTGTGTCTGCGGTCTTCTTTGCCCTTCCCCAATCTTCATGACTTTGCATTTGGCAGGGTTAAACTCAAGGAGCCAGTTGCTGGACCAGGCTTGTAGCCTGTCCAGATCTCCTTGTAGTCCTGCCTGATCCTCATCTGATTTGATTCTTCTCATTAACTTAGCATCATCTGCAAACAAGGATACTTCTGAGTCTATCCCTTCCGTTATGTCGTTGTGTGTGTGTGTGTGTGTGTGTGTGCACACTTGCATGTGTGTGTATGTGTGTGCACGCGCGTGTGTGTGTGTGCGTATGTGTGCGTGTACACTCACCTAGTTGTGATTGCAGGGGTCGAGTCACAGCTCCTGGCCTTGCCTCTTCGCTGGTCACTACTAGGTCACTCTTCCTGCTCCATGAGCTTTTTCATACCTTTTCTTAAAGCTATTTATGGATCCTGCCTCCACTAAATCACTTCCCAGACAATTCCACTTCCTGACAACTCTGTGACTGAAGAAGTACTTCAACTTCCAAATGTGACCCCTTGTTGCTGTGTCCCATCTCTGGAACATTCTGTCTCTGTCCACCCTGTCGATTCCTCTCAGTATTTTTTTTTTTTTTTTTTTTTTTTTTTATCACACTGGCCGATTCCCACCAAGGCAGGGTGGCCCCGAAAAAGACAAACTTTCACCATCATTCACTCCATCACTGTCTTGCCAGAAGGGTGCTTTACACTTCAGTTTTTAAACTGCAACATTAACACCCCTCCTTCAGAGTGCAGGCACTGTACTTCCCATCTCCAGGACTCGAGTCCGGTCTGCCGGTTTCCCTGAACCCCTTCATAAATGTTACTTTGCTCACACTCCAACAGCACGTCAAGTATTAAAAACCATTTGTCTCCATTCACTTCTATCAAACACGCTCACGCATGCCTGCTGGAAGTCCAAGCCCCTCGCACACAAAACCTCCTTTACCCCCCTCCCTCCAACCTTTCCTAGGCCGACCCCTACCCCGCCTTCCTTCCACTACAGACTGATACACTCTTGAAGTTATTCTGTTTCGCTCCATTCTCTCCACATGTCCGAACCACCTCAACAACCCTTCCTCAGCCCTCTGGACAACAGTTTTGGTAATCCCGCACCTCCTCCTAACTTCCAAACTACGAATTCTCTGCATTATATTCACACCACACATTGCTCTCAGACATGACATCTCCACTGCCTCCAGCCTTCTCCTCGCTGCAACATTCATCACCCATGCTTCACACCCATATAAGAGCGTTGGTAAAACTATACTCTCATACATTCCTCTCTTTGCCTCCAAGGACAAAGTTCTTTGTCTCCACAGACTCCTAAGTGCACCACTCGCCCTTTTCCCCTCATCAATTCTATGATTCACCTCATCTTTCATAGACCCATCCGCTGACACGTCCACTCCCAAATATCTGAGTACATTCACCTCCTCCATACTCTCTCCCTCCAATCTGATATCCAATCTTTCATCACCTAATCTTTTTGTTATCCTCATAACCTTACTCTTTCCTGTATTCACTTTCAATTTTCTTCTTTTGCACACCCTACCAGATTCATCCATCAGTATTTTATGTCATCATTATATTCCCCCCTATCTATCCTGTCTTCCAGTGTGTGTGTGTGTGTGTGTGTGTGTGTGTGTGTGTGTGTGTGCGTGCATGCATACATACATTTGGACTGTACAGTTAACAACACAGGTCTTGTTGCTTCCTGATGTCACCTTTTTTGGGGACTTCTTTATTTTTTTTATTTTTGGTATATTATATTTTGCTTTTGGTTGATGTGATACTTAAATAGATTAGTATGTATTAGTATGTTGCAAGTAATCAAAGTATATTTATGCATTTTGATTCTCATGGCTAAAAGTTTTTAATTATTCCTCTAGATTCTAATAATTAATGCCTAAACCAAATTATTTCAGAATTAAATCATAGATACCTTGTCATTATATAAAACTGGTATAATAGGTTTATTATAGAGCCTAGTATCAGTTTTGGGTAGCATACATTAGAAGTATATGGTGTATTGCTTGTGAGTGTTGTATTTCAGTAATTATTCTTTTCTAAGTTAAATACTTTTTTACTTGCCAATTTTGTAAAAATAAAAGAATGGCGTTTGTTCACTGGTATGCTCATCCATTAAAATTTTTGTTGGTATGTTCTTCCTTTAAAATTTTAGTCTCATCTATAACTTGTCAAACAAGAGAGTAATTTCTTTATTTACTTACTTAATTTTTTAAACACACAGATAAATGTCTCAGCTGGAGGAAGTGTTGTATAACAAGTTCAAGTCTCTGCATCAAAGGTGAAGGTCATGGCCTGATATCAAAAGTCAGAGTTCAGAAATAATAGGGCTTCATTCTAGCTTTTATCACTTTGTGTGTGTGTCATTTAAAAAAAAAAATTGGATGTGTTAGGTTGTAGTGATTTTTTTTTTTATTGTTCATTTGTAAACATTTCGATATAAGGTATTGTTTTATATGCTGTGTGCTATACTCTTGTTGATCCACTAATTTCCTGAATCATATCACCAAGTAATTAGGAGTCATAAAGCAAAATAGTATTGAGGAATATAAGAGTTTTTAGTCACATTGTTCATTTGGTTTTTATAGTCACACTTGGGTATGGTAAAGATTCACGAAATCATAATAACATCATTACAAACAAACCATTGAATAGGTGCAATTTGAACCAGTGGTGAGCGAGTCCTAAAACTCCAGGCCATTGTGTAAGCTGTGTGTGAGCCGTGTGGCTTACACACTGGCCTGGAATTTTAGGGCCTGCCGTGGGTTTAAACCCCCTCCCGTTCTTTGGTTTGCATGGTAAAGATAGCTGACTGCTGAATATTTCATAATACCTCTATGTAATTTCTTCCTTGATCTACACTCAAGCTCTTGACATAATTTTGCTTTTCTTTATCCTCAGATCTCCGTCATGGAGGAGTTGTCACCCCAGTCAAGTCTTCAGGTGGAGCAAGAGTATCAGTGTCATCAAGCAGCAAAACACCCAAGACCAGAGGTCGAATTCACACCACAAATCCCGTCGTAAAACTTGAAGGAAGAATTGACAGCAGAGTTTCACTGGAGGGAAATCATATCTCTCATGTTCCTAGTGATTCTGGTGTCAGTAGGAGTAACAGTATAAGCAGCAGCAGCATCAGTAGCAGCATTAGCACTAGCAGTCGAGTTGGAGGGCTGCCAGGCTCCCCAAGGTGTGAGATGTTGCCATCTCCTGGTAGCCTTTCAGTGGTTTCAATGAAGGCTGAGGTGAAGACAGAAGATGGTTTAGATTGTGGGCTTGATCTCCTGCCTCCACCACAATCTTTGCCAGCAACTTTACCACCACCAGCCCCACCTGAGCCTCCACATCACACGCTACCACACCCTCCAACACATTCAGGGCCTCCACCCACCATTGGACCTCCCAGTATAGGCCCACCTAGTGCTGGACCTCCTAGCATTGGGCCTCCAAGTATTGGCCCACCCAGTGTAGGGCCTCCTAGTGTAGGGCCACCTAGTGTATCTTGCCCGAGTGTAACACATCAGGGAATGGTGACCCTAAGTGGACCTCCAAGTAGTATGGGAGGAACTTCTGTTGTTGGAGTTTCTATGCTTACTCAGAATGTATCCAGTGTAGAGGAGGAGGTCAACAAAATATCAGCAATGTTACAAGCAGAAGCAGAAGCTCTTACTGCTTCTCAAAATCTCATAGCAAGTTCCTCCATGGACATGGATGCAGGTCTAGTTGGGTCTCATGACATAGTGGAGGCTCGAGGTCAAGCTGCTGGCAGTGTGACCACCACCGGTTCTGGTCTTGGGGGCAGACAAGGGATGATGGTAAACAGTCAGACCATGGGCTCTGTGCCAGTGCCTATGAGTCACATGTCCATGGCAACACTAAACCAGATTCAGGCAGACTTGTTAGCCACTGTAAGTGAGTCAGATCTTAATGCTGTTCTCAATGCCACACCTGAAACCTCTGACCTGGAACATACAGTTCTTCCCAATAATTCTCATACTCAGTGCTACTTAAATGAAAGTGGTAGTTTGACATATATTGACCAACAAACTGTAAATACTAATAATTACGGTGAAACTACTGAACCCCCAGAATTAAGTATTGAGAAGGTATTACCTCAGCGGTACAATAATGAACAGTTATCAATGCCCGTTCTAGAGCAAATCACAAATGAAGTTTTGTCAGAAGCTGATGCTTGTGTGCACAATCTTGAGGGAGTGACAGCTGATGTACAAGGACAGTATACAAACAGTACTCAGTCTGATCTTATTGAAGTACCTGTTGAATCATTTAGTTTTGATGAAATTGAAAAAATATCATCTCAGTGTGATGAACTAACAAATGCAGTTAATTCAATAACTCAGTTATGTCAAGGTGGGAGCAGTGGATTAGAGTCACAGCTAGCGGGCTTGTTGCAACAGCCAACATCTACCCCAGCACCGTCCCCCTCCTTAAGTGCACAATCAGCCCCTGCTGGCAACTCCATCAGTGCTGCACCCACCTTGGGAACCTCCAGCCAGGGTATCACTGTAGTCATAGGAGGCGGGGCACAACCAACCGTTAGTACTGTTGCATCTCAGCCCTCACTCTCCATGCCTACTTTAGCTGCCACATTAAAGAAACCAGTTGTATCTACGGGAGGGCCACAGCTAGTGTCTCCAGGTCCTGTTACATCAACACAAGTGCACACCCCGTCTCACACACCAACTCATACTCCTGCTCACACTCCAACGCACACAACAACCCAACACACTTCTGGGTCATCCACCCTCACGCCAGCCCCTCCAACACCGTCACCTAAAAAATCGAGCAAAAAGAAAAAGCCTGGTGAAAGAAAACTTTTACCTCTTAAGGATAGAGAATATGATCCTGAGGTTCATTGTGGTGTTGTAGTGGCAGAGACTGGGAAGCCCTGTACCCGTTCCCTCACCTGCAAGGCCCACTCTCTTACTTTGCGGCGAGCTGTAACCGGAAGATCTAAAAAGTTTGATGATCTCCTCTTAGAGCACCGAGCAGCCAAGGAAGCACAAACCAGAGCTGCTAAACCTCCAGATGCAGCTACAGGTCTTGTACAAGTAAGTAGTAAGCAATGTATCTCCTTCAGAGTGCCCATCCTGCTAGTGTGTTTGATGCTGTAATGAGCCATTCATGCATTGTTACCCATCAAAGTTGTTGCCTTATTATCCCTCTGCTAATACAGAATGCATTGGACATGTTTTGAAAATTATGCTCACTGGTTTTGGATCACCTGGGTAAGAAATTCTTATCTTATTTTCACTGTTTATACAACTTTTTATCTTAATAATAGGTCATTACCTCTGCAATTCACAAATAGGAAGTGCCATTGCAGAAATACTTATCATATTAATACTGATTATTTTTCATGTCAGCGACAACAATTTCTCTATGGAGAAATTGTTTGTCAGTTTGTGTTGTGTGTTGTGTTGGTTGGCATGTAACTGTGTGTTACAGGGCACCCCACCCCGTGGCCCGGTCATGGCCACCACTAGCAGCGGAGGGATGGTGGTAGGTGGGGCTGCTGCTACATCCCCTCTCCTGGTTAAATCTTTGGGGGGCACCGCGACCACAATAGTGACTCCGGGTGACCCTTCTCCCAACCCACCCCTACATCATCCAATGGATCCCCCCAGCACCCCGTCGCACACCCATGCCACGCCCCCCTCTCCTGCATATTGGCCGCCTACTCCTAGGATTCCTCCGGCCCTCGTACCTGCAGATAATTTTTATGTTCGAGAGCCGCCCAAGCCTCTTGCTGTGAGTTATTTAATAGTTTCATAAAATGTACCTAGTCATTAACAGCTTTTATATTAATTGTTTTATAAAAAGTTTTAGAGAGTTTCTTTGGTATTTTATGGGGTGGAGTAATTCTTATCTTAAATTTTTCTTGTGTGAAATGTTATTGAGCATTAAGAGTAGCACTGTACATTATTACAGTGTGTTCAAATCATTATACAGTGTAGAATATTTTATAAATAAAACTGTTATCATTCAAAATTTAGAAGCTGGTTAAACTGCTATTTTTCCAGACATGTTCGTACAACTGTAGAAGACTAGGTGGATACTTGGCCTCTGATCACCGGGCGGACTTGTTACGCAGTGCATTCCGTAATGCTCTGAAGAAGCCCCATCCAGGCTCTGTACTCACAGACTCTAGCATCAGCAATGCTTTAAATATTGGTGGTACTCAAGAGAGATTTGTAAATGTCAAACCCCTGTTAGCTAAAAAGTTGCAGCTAACTGTCCCTTCAGGGTCTGGCAGTAAGGACGGCATAAGTGTGAGCACCGGGTACAACGGTCATATCCATGTCGGTAATAGCATGGGGATTGTGAATAGCAGTGCAGTGGCGGCAACACTTAAACGACCCACCCAAGCTGAAACCTTAAAAAATAATGCTACTCCTATCACCAGTGCCAAAAATAAAAATAAAAAAGTGAAAACAAATGATGGTGCTATCAATATTGTGGGAAATGTATTGCAACTTGACGCTAGTGGGAACAAGAACCACATTCCTGTTGTTGTCAGTTTGCAAAATGGCTTGTCGAACAATCAGACTATAACTTTAAGTAATGTAGCAATTGCTGGAGTTAGAAACTCTACTACTCAACCTATTCGAATAAACCCATCCACACCCACCAATTTTGGGAGAGACTCGTCAGTTACGGACACACGGCAAGGCAACAGTGATAATTCAAACATTTTTCTTGGGTCTGGTTTACCGGGTGGAATTGTGATATCTGACGCTTTAGCAAAATCGTTCAAAAGTGATGGTGCTGGGAGTATTCGATTAGAACTTCACAGCAATACTTTTGGTGATGCATCAAGATTGGTCACAAATACTGCCAAAGGTAGGACATTTCTAAATGATCTTGTATTGTTTCAATTGTACAGTGTACTATTGCTGTGTCTCATTGATCTTGGGCAAACATTACCTATCCCTGCAGCTTTATCTTCATCTCAGTCTCCCTGCTTAAAATCTGTTCAGTGGAGCTTTTGAAGTTTGTGTTTCATGAGCTTACATGATCATAAGAGTTTAGCTGATAAGATCTTTGAATGTCTCATACAGTGTTACCTTGAATTTCGGCCATAATTCGTTCCAGAAGGCTTGTCTAGTGCCGTTAGCGAACGAATCTATTCCCATAAGGAATAATGTAAATTAGATTAGTCCTTTTCAGACCCCCAAAAATACACTTACAAAAGCACTTACAAAAATGCACTTACAAAAGCACTTACAAAAATACACTTACATAATTGTTCGAGTTTGGAGTTGTTTGAAATTCGAGGTACCACTGTACTTGAATTTCAGTGTTTTGTTCATGACTTTTATTTTTAATACTGTCCTGTACTTGTTGGCTATATTATTGGAAACTTCGTCTGTTCATATTGTATTCTCATTAAACAGATGTTCTCTACTAGGCCTATTCTGAACATTCTGCCATATTTTGTCTCCAGCAGAGATAAATTTTTGTGCAGACTAGAGGGTGAAGTTTCCAGTACTTTTCACATTTACAGCCATAAATACCATGTATTTTCAACCCATGCACAACTGTAACAAAAAAATCAATACTGTATACTGAAGAATTATAAATTAATAAAAGATGCATATTTAAAAATGACAACCCAGACAGGAGTGGACTTAAATGTATATTATACCAACAAGCAGGTAGTAGACAAAGATACTAAATGCTTAACTTTTTCTGAAAGTGGTTTTGACACTGAAGGGGTGGGCTCTTGATCCAAGGAATTAGACTGACCATTCCTTCCCTAGCCATTTGTGAAATAAACAGTACTGCAAAAATAAGCTTACAATCTCTTAATAAAGTAAATGCAGTTGCTAGCTAAAACACTTCGTCATAAATTTCACTCGATGCCTTAGTCCACTGTACATGGTGGTAGTGGACTAAAGCATCAAGAAATTTACTTAGCTTCCTGGGAGGCTGGTTAAATATCTCTTGAGAGCCTCGGTTCAGTATTCCGTCTGGTTGCAGTATTGTTATTTACTTAAACAATTGTTTCAATGAGTAGGGGTCATCCTAGGAAAGGATGGAGAGAGGGAGTGGGTAAAGGAGGCTTTGTGTATGAGAAGCTTGGACATCCAGCAGGCATGTGTGAGTGTGTTAGATAGGAGTGAGTGGAGACAAATGGTTTTTGAGACTTGATGAGTTGTTGGAGTGAGGAAGGTAATATTTTTTGAAGGGCTTTAGGGAAACCAGTTAGCCAGATTTGAGTCATGGAGGTGGGAAGTACAGTGCCTGCACTCTAAAGGAGGGGTGGGGATATTTTCTGTTTAGAGGGATATCTAAGCTGTCGCATCTGCCTGTGGCAAGACAGTGATGATGTGAATGATAGTGAATGTGTTTCTTTTTTGGGTCACCCTGCCTTGGTGGGAGACAGCCAGCATGTTAGAAAAAAGAAAAGCTGCAGAGGCTGGTGGGTGAATTTGAAGGGTATGCAAAAGAAGGGAATTAAAAGTGAATATGTATAGGAAAAAGCAAAGTGACTGGGGGGGGGGGGGGGGCAACAAAAAAAAGTCTAGGAAATGAAAGATTAAGTATCAGGTGGAGGGAGGAAATATGGAGGAAGTAGATGTATTTAGATATCTATAAGTGGACATCTAGACTGTCATATCTGAGTGCTTCTGCAAAGACTGATTATGTATGAGTGATGGTGAAAGTGTTGAATGATGATGAAAGTTTATTTTCTTTCTTTTTGGGTCATCCTGCCTCAGTGGGAAACTGCTGATATGTTAAAAAAAAAAAAAAAAAAAAAAGTGGACACATCAGTAGAGGGCCATCACAGTGATAATTACTTCTTTCCAGTTTACCTGGAAGACAGTGTGGTGAAAACACCAGCCCCTTGAGCTTTGATTGGACAGTTAGAATCTACAATCCATCAAAAATAATTGTCATCCCATAGGTAGTCTCGTACATCATCATAGGACTGTGTTGTCATTGGGAGGCAAAAATAAAGTCTTGCCCTTATAAAAGAGCTGTTGCACTATGCTTACTTTTCTCACTACCCTAGAACATACAGAAGATCCAGTGGTAGGGAAGAAGGCACAGAATTAAAATTTTTGCTAAATAATCCCTATCTGAGTAGATGATATCCTTTTAGTAAACCCTGAATCTGTTCTCAGACTCTCGTATCACCTATGTAACAAAGTGCTAACTAGTAGAGATAGGCAAGGAATATTCCAGCTTGAAGAGTCAGGATATTGATACTGAGAGCAGTGGACATGCATGTAGGCCCTGCTTTACAGCGTTTCACTAATACAGCGGTTTTCGATTATACCCATTCTTCATTTATTCAGTCTACCTACAATAAATATATTCAGCACCTGAACACAACACCATCCAGACCACAGCAGGTAGGACACTGAGACAGCAAGCCTGCTGAAGGCCAACCTCTGTGCCCATCAAGCTCCAGGCAGTTAGCCTCCTGTATGCCCACCTTCTCCCCAAAGGTTTCTGAGCTGCAATCTCCCACCACAAAACAATTCAACTTCATGAAAAAAAAATGTCCACACCAATTGCAAGGATATGCATGTAAACATAAAACATATTTCCTGTGTACAGGAGGGCCCCACTTTATGGTGATTCACTAATATGGAAATTTCAAATTTTATCCCAAAATTTATTTATATGGCTCCTGATTTACTATTACAGTGTCCACGTGCCACCCATCCACTCTGTTTACTTCCTCTGTGATCTCCGCATCTCTCTTGATTATATCTGGAAACTTTTCAGAGTTTCAAGTGTTTTAAAGTTATTGCGTATTTTGTATACACGTATACTCTTTTTCTTTTTTTGTATGTTACAGTGACATCTAAGGGCAGTTGAAGTAAAAAGGAATTGTAAGGTTCTTACTTAAAGTGTAAAGCTAGAAATGATTAAACTCAGTGAGCAAGGTATGACTGTGGCTGAGATAGTACTGAGATACTAATGACATTTGTCGTCCTTATGTGTACCTGCTGGCATGCGGGTACATTACAATCACTGTTTAGCATTGTTACAAAGTAGAAGTAGCTATGCAAGGCAAGGGAGTAGCTAAGAGTGTCTCACTAGTGCTGAAGATGCAGTAAGCAAAATAATAATAATAATAATAATCACTCTGGGGCACTTTGAGTGTCATATATTATGTTCTTATAGACGTTTTCATTAATCCATGCATAACATTTTGTCAAAATTGTATAAGAAACCCACTACATATCATATAAACAAAATATATACATTCACATTAAAACAAATTAACATAATGAAGTGTGGTAGCTGGGCAGGCTATCACATCTGATTTCCTACAATAAATACTACTCACCTTTCACCCTACATTAAGACTACAAATATTTTAAGGTAAGTAATGAGTGTACTATATATTCATTTGATTTTTATTGTTTTTATGCCTAGTTCTATTGATAACTTAATATTTGATAATGTAAAAATGTTATCAGGCATTTATATGCATTTTAAAGGGGAAAAAATGGTGATTCGCTTAACGGTGGGAGCCTTAAGCCTAACCCGCCATATAAGTGGGGCTTTCCTATATATGTGTGCCACTGTTAGGCATTGTAGTATGCCCACCTTTTCAGACTTAAGTACAGTATCACAAAAAATGTATCTCACGCAAACCCATTATTGCATAAAAGTTTAAAATAGTTGAGCCACTTACCTTTCCTCCCACTTCTCCTCTCTCCCACTCCCTTCACTCATTTCCATCCCCCCCATTGTTACAAGGGCTCTGGTCCAAGATAAGTTGAGCTTTTTTGGAGTACAGTGGCCATTTCCTTGACAGATATCAAGGTCAGATTGGTTTCCTGAATCAATATCAGTAAATACTTAAATATCACTGTTGCTGTGATTGATTATGAAAAGCACTGATGTCTCATATGATCAAGTGTTTCATGGTTTGATCCTTCTAAATACTTGTACAACTATCAATAACATAGTCCAGTAGTTGAAATAATCAGTTGGTTAGTGATTTAGGCATTAACTGTAAGGGAAAGGAATGGTGGGTTATGTAACCGGCTAGGGGGTCTGGCAGAAGCCTCTCATCCACTGAGTATCCATGTGTGGTAGTTGTAGTATACCACCATGGTATTCACTAGGTATTTACTCAGTCTCTTCCTAAGAATAACATGTTAGTAAAGATTGAAAGTGATTGTGTATGTGAATAGCCAAGCTGTGAGTAGTACTGGAATCCACTGTTATACCTATTCACACTGGACTTTTTTTTTTTTTCCTTCACATGACCTTTGAATCGTGCTGTGAGCATGTCACTGTCCTCCAGCTTGGAGGAGTAATTACCGTAGATCTACTATGGCTTTGAATAGTCTTTTCTACAATATTGCCAGGTCTTTCTTTGACCAGATTGGTCATTAACTGCTGCTTAGAGCCTGCACAAAAGAAAAGCAGGGAAAGTAACTAGGAGAAAAGTAATTACAGAGCTCATTACTGTTGAAATAAGTTTACCAACAGGTGGCTATTCCTAAAGTGGGTCATTGAACCTGAACACAAATGTTATGTATCTCAGCTTCTTAGAGGCCAGGTGGGAACTGAAGGTTCAGCAGGTTATTCATTTTGGATAACCCTGCTGAACCTTCAGTTCATTTTGGATAACCCTGCTAGAGTGCTCAAACAGGAAGGTGAGGGGGCCCATTGATCTCCAGATGTTGCAAAAAAGAGTTGACAACTTTCTGTCTATGGGGCCACAGGTCCCAGGGAAATTCCTTGATGAATCTGATTCATATTTATCATGATTGATACTAAACACTGGCTTCAAGGCTGCAGAAATGATTACTAGGGATGGGATGACACCAAAATTTTTGCAGATACTAATACTAAGTTTTTGACAA